GGCAGGGCCGTCCCGCCGCCTCCAGCCGTCCCGCTCGTCCGAGGTCAGCGCGGAGCGGGATCTGCCGGGCGGCGTCTCCAGCTGGGGGTTTCTGGGCCGTCCCCTTTTTTAGGGACGGTGTTAAGGGGTTAAGGGCATAGCAGTAATGGGGCAGGCGGGTTAGTGGGTCATTCCCGCGTGGTTCCCGTGCCGTGGCGGCCCTGGGGCACGGTTCCACAGGTCGGTGGCGGTCAGGCCCCGCTGAGGCTGGAGCACCGCTGGGAGCAGGGCCCGTGTGAAGAAGGGGGATGCCGGGGCCGTGCACCTGGGTGGAGAAGGTGAGGGCTGCCAGGGCGAGGAGGACTGGAGCTGTAGTCGTGACTCCTACCAAGAGCGCAGTGTGGCAGCTGAAAGGGCCGATGTGATTCTTCGCTGTTCGTGAAATATTAGCAGAAGCGGTACTATCTTTAAATGCTCCTTCAGAAAGACAAACAGAAAGGCTTTACAGTCGCGACGAGGGTAGCTTACGGTTTGGGAAATACGCTTTGCCGTGGGAGGTCTGTTCTCAGTCTTCTCAAAGGTAGCTTATTTCTCTGTAACCAGAAGCGTGTCCCTGGGGAGGGGCCCTCTCCTGGGTTGAAACACAAGTAAGGTGTATTCTTGGTTGTGCAAGATTCATCTGTAAACATCTCACACTTGAGAATATGCACTGGGCACGTGGTTTGTATTTTGAATGACAGGAAAATCTTGGTTTAATAGTAAGTTAGTCCAAATATGCAAGAAGTGGCCTTCAACCAGCCAGCAGCTGTCCTCGACCAGTAAGAATTCTTGCACTTTTCCTGATGTTAGCGCCCAGTATGCGCTGCCTAACGTTGCTCTGAGACTCCGTCACATTGTGACGACCAGGATTTGACCTGAACTCTATGTTTCTAAAATTGCTTTTGATGGTTTTCTTCATTTGGGACCTCACTCTTGCAAGGAGAGAAATAATGATGAAATGGACATGCAATTTTTTTTTTTTTTTGTATTATGGTAATATTCCTTTCCTCTTTGCCTACTGAAGCCATGAATGTAGTCTAAAGTCAGCAAGGTAAGAACAAAAAGTTTTTGGTTGCCTGCGTTAGCTGCTCCGGCTTTGCAGGGAGAAATTATTGCAACTGAAGGAATGAGATGGTGTTTTTGAAGGAGGTGAATGTAAGTAGCAATATGTTACGCAAATGTTGCAATTTTTTTCCGCCTCTTTAGTTTTACCGTAATGTAGCGCAAGGTGTTCACTACCCCACCAGACATAAAGCAAAGCTGGCTGTTGGTAGCCTCTATTTTATTTTCTGCGGTCTCCTCTGTACCATCTTGAAGAATGATCAGAAATTAGAGTACCGACTGATGAGCTGAGTGTATGGTGTGTTGGTTATAGTACACAGTAATTTCTTGCAAAGCAGTTAAGTGAGCAGGAGTCCAGCTTCTATTTCCTGTTTACCAATGTGAGTCAATAAAGTCAGTTAGATTAATTCTGAAATAGCCAATATCCTTTACCTTGCGAGGCAAAACCCGGCAGGCTGCATTAGAAGAATTCCTGGAAAGATCCGTATATGGTATTTAAAGCTGGTTTGTGTGCAGGTATTTTTGGGTGGCAACAGTTCACTTAAATCAGTGTTATTTCTGACTTCAGAAAAATAATTTTGTACTTAAAAGAATGATAAGCAGTACAGCTGTGATTTTCTTTGAAGATTAAAAATTAGTTATAAATTACGGTATCTGTTTTCTTTCTCTATCAGCAGCCTCTCTGCTTATTTCTAATACTGAAATTCAGTTCTGAATACCTTTAAAAATAGCTGCAGATGGAAGAGCTCACTGTGTCAGCTGTCATCTTTTAAAGCACCATGTTCAGTAGAGTGCTCGTGTATTTGCATCATTATTGACCTTGCACTGTTGTTAGTGATTCTTTGGAAAGCTTCCTTAATGAAAATACGATGCAAGAGGGAAGCTTGTGAAATTGGGGTACCACTGGAACTGCATCCCAAGAGCCGAGATCATGGTTTAATGGCAGAGATCATGGTTTAATGGCAGATACGTTCTTGGCATTCCTGGTGTGCAGTATTTTTTGTCTTAAGGCTCCTGTGAGAGCCTGTGAATGATCTGATCTGGCATTTTACAAAGTAATTAAGTGTGTGTGTGTATAACAGCTGTGTTGGAACAGGCAAGAGAAAAGTCTGCTGTGGTAGGAGCAAGTGAGGTGTGAGAGGGGGTTCCTTTGAGTGATATTGCTGCAGAAACTTCTTGCCTGTCAAGGTGTGGTCTCAAAATAAATGATTATATATATATATTTAAAGTTGTGAGAGAATACAAATGAGCACTTCTGAGATTTTTCAAATCTGATTTTCCTAAGGAAGATTAGATTTCATATTTCTGTATCTGAAGGGGTGTCAGGAAGCATTTTCCTGTCATGGTTCTAAGCTTTATCATTAATGTTATGCTGCTCAGGCATGCCTAAGCATGTTAAACTGGAGACAATCAAGGGAGGTGTGTGTTCTTAGAGCACTTAGTCACCCTCCTGTGATGGCTTTTTACATGGAGGGGTAAAATGACATGTTTGTCTGTTTGCCACTAATGATAATTTTTTTCCTAGCTGAACTTTAA